TCTTTGCCAAGGCTTTTGGCCAGGCTGATTGCAGCCCATTTAGAATGCGTGGATGGGAGATTTTGTTGTTTCTGTTTTCATCACTTTTGCTATCTTTTACTTCTTTAGTTTTACTTCTTTAGTTTTATTTTCCTTGTTTCACTTTTAACTTGTAAACTGACCAGAATTGCAATATATAAAGCTCATAAAACAAATCAATCAAGAAATACAGTCAAAGTCTCAATAAAACATTGAAATGCTGCAGCTCTGAGGAGATAGTGGACAGTCCTTTCCACTTGGCAGGATTTGGCTTTCCTTTACCTCCTGGTTTCATGAGCCTGCCATTTTAATATATCTTTCAAAGGAAAGACACTGATGGATTTGCAGATTCCTCTCATGGAAACCACTTGGATTTGCCCATGACAAAAGTGTAACATAAAAGAATTTATGTGAAAGCAAATTATTTTATTTATCCATTATGAAGGTGGCAGAAGAGCAGTCCAGATTGTCAAACTGCTTCTGAAGAAATGGTAGTGTGGCAGTGTTTTTAGGCCTATCTTGATTTAATGAACACTGAAGTTAATGTTTCCTTGATCCATACAAGGATAGAGGAAAGATTAAAAGTTTATAGAGATAATTTCCTAATTTTATATATCTCTCTCTATTCCTATCCCCATGATAGGTTTGTGTGTGCAACAGGAGCTTTTTCTTGAGCAGTGAGAGAAATCATCCCAGTGGAATATTGGATGCCTTGCTTCACTCCTAAATTTGTGGCAAACCATTTGCTGTTAATAAATTTCTGTTACCTCTGCTGTCATGAAAATGGAATTTTTGGTTTATTTCTTGATGTTTATGGATGCAAAATACCTCTAGATCAGTGTTTCTCAATCAATATGGACTAACATCCTGGCTGGAAAAATCTGGGAGTTAAAGATGACACATCTTAAAGTTGCCAAGGTTAACAAATACTGATTTAAATATTAGAGCATCACAACTTATTTGAAACAGATTCTATCCAAAGTGCATTAATAATAAATGAAATATTTGTCATCAAAGCTTTAGCATTTTCAAGGTTTGGGCGCCTGTTTAAAAAACTGCTTCGAATTTCATGGGTTTATACCACCAATATTTCTTGGACCCCAAACAAAAAAGCAACAACAGCCATTCCACATGTTTCCAAAGACACAGCTACTTTAATGCTTCAAACAGATATCCTCATTTGCACAAATGTACTTTATAGTACAAAGTAGTTCTTTTGAATACTTTACATAACTTTTCCATACAAGAAAAATATATCATTTGGAGTTAATATGGAATTTTATTAGTATCTATATGTACTGTATATATAGCAAACTTTCCCCAAACAAGTATCTTCTTGATGCAACATGATTTGGTTATTATGGCAGGAATTATGAAAATTGCACTCTGTCCCTTAAGAATTAATAATGCATCTTTTGAATTACTGTTATAGTCAATTAAACAATTTTAACAATTTTAAAGCGCTAGCACAATCAACTTCTCTTGAAGAAAAAAATTAGAAGGTACATTCAAATTGAAAGTGTATAAAATTGCTAAATTTTCATGTATTTTTGGTTAAAAAAAAAAAAAAAATCCATTAATTTTTTAAATAAAAATTTGTAAAAAATATTCACATAAAAGTGACCCCCAAATGTAAAAACACAGCAGTAAAATGGATGGACTAAGTTAAAGTGGCAATGAGTGATGGGAGATTTGCAAGAACAAGTTATAGAGCATCAGAAAGAAAATCTAAATGGTCTCTAGGCATTGAAAATAACCTGGCAGCACATAATCAATGAAAATGTGAAAACAACTATACCGTAATTGAAATCTATGTTTCAAAACCTTAGTATTTTGCTTTATAGATTTCACAAACTAAATGGGCAGGAAGAATGAAATATTTGCCATAATACGAGATTCTGGTTTGTTTCTGTAAGGATTTTTATTTTTTTTGGAAACATGAACCATTCCTGTCAGAAACTCAGTGCTTCAACTGCTTAAGGTCAAGTCCAACAATTAAAAATAATTCAATCCAGTGTTCTGTTGCCAATTTGTTAACAAATAACTTCTAGTCACCAAAGTAGAGAGAGAGGTATGAGAAAAATCTTTATTGCTGGTCCAGGAAGATAAAGACATTATTTACTTTTTTCTTGCTTGCTATTCATCTGGAGCTAAGAAAGTCAAAAAGTATTACTGTATATATAGTCTTATTCTGCAAAAATAATATGTAACATCCTTTTATCCTAGCAACAATTTTAAGGTATTTAGGACTATCAGGCCCGATCAACACATCAAAAGGTAGTTATTTTTCTGATTTAATAGCCAACAATTTTGCTCAAAATCCAAAGCTGTTGATAAATACCATACACCCAATTTTAATGAGAAATAATATAAAAATTACTCACATCAGCCTTTAAATGTATCATGCTGACCATATGGTCACATCACAACTAAATCATTTACTGACTATGAAAGGGTACTAAGATAAATAAGTCTGAACAAATATATTTTAATTTCATTGGAAAAAAGAAAAAGAAACAAACAAACTGAAAGATAGCTGTTATAATCTCAGATATCTTGAGATAATACCTGCAAAAAGCTTGAAGTAGTTTAGAAAAAAGAATATTGATCACAGGGTTAGGAAACTAAAATGAGAATGAGGGGTCCTTGGTGCTCTCTGAGCTTGGTTGTTTTCTTGCAGATGTTTCATTACCCAAACTAGATAACATCATTAATACTAATAGGGAGTGGAGCTGGGTTTCATTTTATTTTCTAGTGGCTTGTCTTGTTAGTGTTGGGTCCAGTTCACAAGGAAACAACAAAACAACAATACACTACCTTTCCTCGATTTCCTTATCAGCAAAGACTGCTGTAGCAAACTAGAAACACAAGTCTACAGAAAAACTACCCCCACCAACCAAGTACTTCACTACCAAAGTAATAACCCAACCTCTCATAAGAGAAATCATTTAAGAACACTATTCAGATGAGCACAAAGACACTCAGCAATCCTGAACATCAGAAAAAGAAAACAGATAATCTATATAACACGTTGAAACAAAATGGTATCCATGCAACGTCATCAAAAAGTGCTTGATTACTCAATCCAATATAGCAATACAACCAAACAAGCTGTAAGGATAACACTGTCACACATCAAAAACATCTCAGAACCCACCAATAGACTATTACAACTACATCAGAGGTAGTATTCAGCTGGTTCTGACCAGTTCTGGAGAACCAGTAGCAGAAATATTGAGTAGTTCGGAGAACTGGCAAAGACCACCTCTGACTGGAGATTTTACAGTCTCCTTCCCCTGCCACGCCCACCAAGCCACACCCACAGAACCGGTAATAAAAAATTTTTGAATTCCACCACTGAACTACATGGCATCAGCATAGCACACAAACCAACTAAAGGTCTCCAAAATAGGTAGACCAAAAGACCCAGCAGGCCCCGGGTGGTGGTGGGGAAACCCAGGAATCATTTACAATATACAGTGTAAAAACTGCCACAGCCACCATGAAGGACAAGCAGAAGACTAGCAGAAACATATCCATGAACACCAACGAACAGCCAGAAGACATAATGAAAACTCTTTAATTTCACAACACCTGAACAGACAGACATAGCAATCAACACCCAGATGAGCATAGATCAGATGAGCATAGATCGGGAAACCGGAAGAGCAGATTCCTGGCGTGCCACGGGGGAGTGCTGGAAACCAGAAGCTCAGCTTACCAGCACACACATGCGCTCCAGCCACCTGGTCTTCTGGTTTCTTAATGCACATGCGCAGGCGAAGACCAGCTGGCTGGCATGCGGACATGCGTGAAGACCAGAAGAGCAATGGGCAATGGCTGGCGTGCCCGGAGAGATGGCTCTGCGTGCCATTTCCGGTATGCGTGGCAAAGGTTCGCCATCACGGGCATAGATTAACAAGATTAACATCAGACCAACAATCAAGAAATAAACAATACCCCAATCAAGGAACTGCCAAACAAGCTAACAGTCAACAACCCAACCCTATAATCTCCAAGACCACTCCCACCAACACTGATAGGGCAAGTCACTAGAATATAAAGAGACAGCAAAGCCTACTCCTTAATAGCACTGATGTTACCTAATTTGGTTAATGAAACATCTGCAAGAAAACAATCAAACTTTGAGAGCACCGAGAACCCATCATTTCAACTCTGAGCTACAAATATTCTCCTCTATTTGTCAAACAAGAATTTAAGGTACAACATATTTACAATTTACACGACTATAGAATTTTGCAGTAGGTAAAATTATTTTTCACCTAGGGTACTTATTTTTTTATTTTTATTTCAGCAGTAGTCACTATTCCCAGATTTGATAAAATGGGATATGCTATTTGATATTTTCATTCAATGGGATAAGGTTGCATACAAGCACTAATTATTGTACCAGCAACAAATCAAAAGGCGGGTGCTTTTCAAATATGTTAGCATATATTATGATGACTGTTTATATCAAACGGTATCACTACTTTGTTAGTCGCTTTCTTTTGTATAATAAGAACTATCACTTGTTTCTTGAAACTAAAAGCTTAGTTGAGCCTGGATCAACAATCGCATAGGGAGACTCCTAACCTTGGTCCTCCAGATGTTTTACTAAAATCCTCATCACGGGATTGCCTCGACCATTATGAACGGGTGAGAGTCGTAGCACAGCGTTGCAGTAATGGCTATGAGCGACGGAAAATGTAGCTGTACCCCGCTTAAGACAGTCCCAAGGTTGGGTAAAGGTACGCTTCGTATAAAGTCTAGCTGTCTTCTCCTCTCTCACGCTCCGAAGAAACAGATTAAACAGATCTTTTTTTCCATACCCAAGGAGTGGTTAGCACGGTCATTTTGCCTTTCTCTCCTACAGAGGGCGCTGATTATTTTGGTGGGAATAATTCTGGAATCCGTCCAGTCCCACCGGAAATGGCTGCGAGGAACGGCCATCTTTGTAAAGGGCAAAAGAGATCGAGCAACCAGGATGTTATTTCTTCCTTTGAGCGAATGGTAGCGGAAACGAATACGACAAGGCCACCTGCCTTCCTGTCGCCTGGCTCCCTTGTCTTGATTCAGAAGAAGGGAACTGGCCGAGCGGAGAGATCATGGTGAGCGCACAAAATCGTGACGGCTGCATTCGGGTCGCATCTGATCCTATCAGAGCAGGGCCGTTTCACGGCAAGGATGTCGATCGAAGTCGGGCAGGCAGGATCCCGGCCGTGGAAGAGGAATGGCAGCTTGGGGGCGGGGGCATGGGGGGAAGAAGCAGAGTCGTCCGGAGTCTCTTCCGAGTCCCCCTTCGCCCATTAGTGAGTCCCAAGGCTGAGTGGGTTGACCAAGGGTTGGAAACTGGGCTCTTTAAGTTTTGCAAAGAAAATGGGACTTATCGGATCTGTTGGGATGAGACGATTTGTCCGTTGAGCCAGACTGGCTTCTTTTGCTATCAGCCAATTTTAAAAGCTGGATAAAGAGGATTTTCCAAAGATTTTTTTCTTTTTTCTTTCTTTTTGCAGCCCCTTTTGTAGGGGGCAGAGGCTCAACACAATTGGGCTTCCTTGAAATTTCACCCATCGTCGCATTCAGAGATAAGATCTCATGATCTCCCTTTATCCCTAGAAAAGAATATTTTAAGATTTTCCATTGCTCGATTCAAATACTTGAAATAGTGCAATTTAAAGACCAGAATTTCCTTTTGCTAGCTGCTTATAATGGCCATGTCATCGTTAATTCTTTCTATTTTTTTCCTGGAATTCAGGATGAATTTTCTGACCCTGATTTGGCAGTTATGGGTGAAGAATCAAAATCTGAGAATGGAGAGAATGCTCCTGTCTATTGCATCTGTCGCAAACCTGATATCAATTGTTTCATGATGTGAGTATTGCTGGAAGAAATAGAAAAACTTGGTACTGGGAGCTCCTTCACACGTTATGAGGTTGCATTGAGGATGGCAGCCAGTGCAAAACCCTTCTGTCAGTATGATATGCACTGATTTATTTCAGCAAGGTCTTCTGGGACATGTTCTTTTTAAAAAGTTAATATTTTTAATTATAATAAAGTTGTTAAAAACTTTGCTCATTCTGGAGTATACTTTTCAACATAAAGATATTAATGGCAGATTAAAAGGGGAAGATGACAAGGGCAAGAGAAGATGTTCTGCAAAGAGTAAAAAGGAATAATAAAAAAGACAATATTCTTTTGAATGAAGTATTTGTGAGGGCAAATTACTCAATATTTCCCAAATATTGCTAAAATTAGTAAAATTAGTAAATAATTAATAATATTAATAATAATACTAATCACAGTTTAGATTGACTCACTTTTAAACGTATACCCAGAGGTTAAACCTTGTAAGAACCCAAAAAGTATTGTCAGATGATGCCTGGGGCACACACAGGGAGCATTGATACTGATGAAGCTATTTCTGTCTGGTAACTTGAGAGGAATATTATTCAATAGCAGGTGAATACCATTAAATTAAAACAGTAGTTCTAAAATAAGATTAAGGTGAATGCACCAAAAAAGCAGTGTGACAAATGTTAAATGTCTTGTGAAGTTATTATGAATTTAAGATAGGAGTCATTAGGAAAAGGCCACTATATGTGGGCAAAGATGGGCAAAGATTAAGATGATAAGATTTACTTTATTTTGCTTTTACTTTTATTAGTTTGACAATGTAGGTTGTAATATGTGGCTCACCTAAAATTAATGAACAGAGTGATTTGGATCTTATGCTGAGCCTGGGAATTTATTTTCAGGACCAGAACTTTTAACTTTTCTGACATTTCTGATTTTCCCTTCAAGTGTTCTTTTATATGAGGAGCTTCAGTCAGAAGAAAAAAAATAGTCTGTGCATCCATTATTAGATATTTGAGAGGTAGAAGAAACTCTTGATCTTCTGAAGTTCAGCTAAATATTTATTATTCAACCTTATCTCTCTCTTATTCGCCCCTTTCCAATAGAAGATGCTACGCTTTTTAAGAATTCCCTATTATGTACTTAGTTAGAACCTGTTTGGTTAAGACTTCAGTGTGGAAACTGGGAGACCTTGAGTTCTAGTTTTGTTTTAATTGCAAAGCCAACTGGGTGACAGTTGGCTAGTCACTTTCTCAGCCCTAGGAAAGAGGCAGTAACAAAGCACTTCTGAAATCTTGCCAGGAAAACTGCAGGGACTTGTCCAGGCAGTCACCAGGGGTCAGCATTGACTTGAAGAGATACATACAGTTATATTTAAGCAGATGAGTTTTGTCTGCCAGTGTCTTTTACGGATTCTCAAATGCATAAAAAATTTGATTAATGAATCTTCACTGTTCTTTTTTCTCTCTCCAGAGGCTGTGATCACTGCAATGAATGGTTCCATGGCCACTGCATTAACATTACTGAGAAGATGGCAAAAGCAATTTGGGAATGGTACTGCATGCAGTGCCGAGGTAAGTTTAAAATCCTGTTTGTGTGTGTGTGTATGATAAATCTCTGTCTCATGAAGCATATATGGATATGTCCTTAAGTGGTGTGCTAGAAACTTAGAATTTATAGGGATTTTCCCCTCGAAAGTTAATATTTAAAATTTCATGGCAAAACATCCTTCAGAAACAAAGCTTCAATAATAAATCAAAAAGAAAACCAGCTTCTGATCTTTGAATCTATATAGCAAAGCTTTTTGTAGAATATAAAAATACTTCAAGAATAATTGTTCTGAAAAGTTCCGGTTGCAAGGCTTCGACAGCGGCAGGAATCCGCGATCATGCGTGGTTCCTGCTGCGCTCGCTGCTGAAGTGCCCCCGATCCAGCTGGATTTGGAGGCTATGGTTACCCCGTAGAGGTAACCGAAGTTAGGTGGGATCCGGGCAGGGGTCTGGGGGTATCGCAACCCCCTTCCTCAGCCGGCTTAACTCACTTTTCCTAAGGCGGTGGAGCGGCGGTCAGCAATGGCTGCCACAAAGAAGCTTTCAGCGGACAAGAAAGTGCAGGAGGAAGTCAGAGAAAATGAAAGTTTTTGGCTGAACCGGGACAATAAGCAACATCTAAATAACCTGGAATTCAACTTTTCAAATGATACATTGTTTCCCAAGAAGATCGTGAAAAGCGGCGAGTGAAAGTGAATAAGGGAAAGTTCTTTTTTTTTTTACTCTCCTTCCCTACGGAAATAGCAAATGAAAATCGGAAAAACCTGCTTTGGCACAGAAGGTAATTAAATTTGAAAATTAAAGCCAAGAGGATATTAAAGATTTCTGAACATTGGAATTAAAAATTAAAACTTTTTTGCTATAAGTGGGAAGGGAGAGGTAAAGGATCTTTAAGATTTTGTTGGAGGAGACTCCTTGGAGCTTACAAGATTAGAGACAAATGGTTATAAAACTTCTAAAAAATTACTTTGGAACTGTGTAACTGAATTCTACCCCAGAAAGAGAAAATATAAAAGAAAAAAGTGCTAAATGAAACATTTTGTGCTGATTTGCATTGCTTTGTGACTTTGGGACTCTTGGAGACTATTTTTTGAAAGACTTAAAATATTTGGGTTGTTTAAAAGAAAAAAAAATGGCATTATCGGTTGAAGAATTGAAAATAGAATTCAAAAAGCTAAAAGAAGAGGAACAAGAGGGCAAGGGCTCTTCTGGATCTGTTTTTCACTTCTTAGAAATGGCGATTTCTACTTACCAGGAATTACAACAAGAAAGTTGGGATGAAGAAGAAGAGGAAGCCATCTTTAATGGACAAATGATTTTAGTCGAGGAAGAAAAGGGAAGGGGAAAGAAAATGGAGAACCCAAGAATTAAAAAAAACAACCAAGAAAAGGAATAAGATGAAAAATCGATATAAGGTCAGAAAGCAACAAAAAAGAAGAATACAACAGAGAGGGGAGACCAAGAGGGTGGAGATTGAGAGATGGGGGGATAAAAAGGTTAGAATTGACAAGAGAGGAAGGGAAAAAGCGAAGAGAAGTTATAAAGGCTTAAAACAAGATGTTAAAAAACAAGTTTTTTTTAGAGACAAAGGGTAAAATATAATTAAAAAAGAGATTCTGCAAAAGTACACAAGACCGTATTGTAGTATTTGTATTTGAAATAGAGTTAGAAAATTGGAATATTATATGAGTTAATAATACATTAGAGGGAATGTGTAAAATGTTTAAGATTTAATAATAGAGTTTAATTTGCTAACATTGTTTTTACTATATTATAAGCTTATTACTTCTTTTTTTATTATTCTAAAATGTAGTATTTAGAAGGAACTAAGCACAATCAGTATGGAAATTATATATTACTTTAAGTGTTAAATTTAGGGAAAAGACAAAAAGGCGTCATACTTCAACCAGTGATTACAGGAGAAATTTTGTATTAAAGAGAAAAGATAAACAGATAATAGAAGAAGAACGGACAAAAGATGCAAGTATAATGATTTAAATTGAGATGAAATAAATAAAATAGAATTAAGAGAGTGAAAAGAAGGGGAAAATATATAGAGAATATAGAATGTTAAACAAGATATGAAATAGTATATAAGGTGAGCATGAATTTGATTTATGTCTGTACAAAAAGATTTAACCTGGGGTTAAGCCGCTTTCCAAAAAGAAGTTTTATGTTTCTATGTTTTGTGTTTTGTTTATGGTTACCTATTGAGAATTAATAAAATTTTGGAAGAATGTTAGAAGAGAATAATGAAATTGTAAACAAGACTGATGAAAGTATAAGTACAATGAATAAAAAGATATAGAAATTTAAGTAAAAGAAATATAATTGAACAGAAGTAAAGCAAACTAGAAAAAGGGTAATAAGATATGCATATTAAAATATAGAAATGTGATAATTTGGAATTATACTGTACTTAAGATGTTTTATATGTCTTGTAAAAATTTAATAAGTAACTTTCAGAAAAGAGGTTCTATGCTTTGTTTGTATATTGTTATTAAAAATTAATAAAATTTGTTTAAAAAAAAGAATAATTGTTCTATATAATAACTAAGACTAAGTGCAGCATAGCTTGAACTGGTAAAATGCAGTTTCCAGATGGCTGGCTGGGTGACTTTAGGCCAGACGTTAGGCCAGTCACTCTTTCTCAATCTCCCCTCCCCCGGTTGTTGTGGGGGAAATAGGAAGAGGAAGGTATATAATGTATGCTCAGCCCTTTGAGATACATACAAAAAAGGAGGAATAATAACAACAACAATGATAATAATAGCAGCAGCAGCAGCAAGAATTTTAGAAAATACATCAAGAAATTGCAGCTTCTTGCAATAACACCAGCAGAACTGCAAAAAACTGTGCTACTTGGAACATCGTGCATCTTAAGAAAATACTTGGTTGATACTTATGCTGGCAGCACCCTGTATCAACTGTTAGCGCCAGTCAATTATATTTGTGATACATTTTTAAATGTTCAGTTGACTGAGTTTCATGTTTTAATAATAATTAATAATAATAATAATAATACATTTTATATGTTCAGTTGACTGAGTTTCATGTTTAATGAATAAAAGAGACAATATTTGTGATACATTTTAGATGTTTAGTTGACTGAGTTTCATGTTTGAGGAATAAAGTAGATAGTAACAACAACAACATTGTTTATGCGTTGCATTGAAACGCAGGCACATGGGTAAAGTAGCATGGAGCTGGAGAACTTATCCCCTGAATTTGGGAGAGAAAACAGTAGAGGTGGTCTTTGACTTATGACCACAACTGAGCACAACATTTCTGTTGCTAAGCGAGACAGGTGTTAAGTGAACACTGTTCCATTTTACAACCTTTCTTGCCACAGTTGTTAAGTGAATTTGGCTTCCTCATTGATTTTACTTATCATAAGTTGCAAAAGGGGATCAGATGACCCCGGGAGATACTGCAACTGTCGTAAATATGAGTCAGTTGCCAAGGGTCTGAATTTTAATCATGTGACCATGGGGATGCTGCAACCGTCGTAAGTGTGAAAAAAAGGCCATAGGTCACTTTTTTCATTGCCATTGTAACTTCAAATGGTCACTAAACCAACTGTTGTAATTTGAGGACTACCTTACACTTTTGCTTTTTATCACCACCATCCCCCAACCCAGTATGAATCCTAAGTAAACCAGGCAAAGAGTAAATAATTTACTGTGGAGGGTCAAGTTTTTTTTTATAAAATACAGAAACAAATGATACATACATTTGGTATATGTGAGGCATGGGAGAGCAATTAATCAAATAATAAAAGATATTGATTAGACATGAAGCTTAAACAATAAACCATTGATTCTAGATAATATTTTACAAGTGGCAAATTTATGGGTTATAACATTCCCTTTCCCAGCTGCGTTTGTTTCTTTCTTAACACTTGCAAGTCAATTTAAGGATTTCCAGAATATTCTGCCTATTATTTAGTTGCTAAGAAAGCTAATTCTTCTCTCCTACCAAAAGAAATGGCCTTTGATTAGAGCCCTAAAGTTAGAGAAAGAGGTCTATACTGCCATGCTAAAATACTAATACCTATAAAAAGCCTTAAAATTCCAAGCAACAAATGAAAATGATCTTAGCTTCCTGCTATTTTATTTCTAAAGGAGGAGGTATGTCCCAGCTCTTCATTTTGCTTTATTTTGGGTAAAATTGCTTTAAGATAACAGTCTCTTTTTCCAAGTAACACAGAAAAGCATACATAGTGTTAATATAAAAAAAAATAATTCAATTACATTCAGATAATTTCTTTGAAATGGGTTATGTATTCTCATAACATAGATCGCTTTCTCTTGCAGAGAGAGACCCCACCCTTGAAATCCGATATAGGCACAAAAAGTCCAAGGAAAAGGACCGTGAAGGTGACCGTGAACGTGCTGAAAAAGATGAGATGCGTGTGAAAGCCCAAGAACTGGCCCTGGAGCAGAGCCGCAACTCCAAAGTAAGGGGATGGGATGCAACGGAGATCATGTCATCTTACAAGGCCTGGCATTCTAACTCCAGAATGTTGACGTGATTTGAACGGTTGGGTTCTAGACTAGTATATTGAAGCAACTGCCTTTCCTAACAGTCTTGGTCAGGCTGTTTATGATCATTTCTTAAGATTTACATAGCCACAAGATGGAGATTTAATGTAGTCAAATAGGTAAATACCATACTTAGTTTCTAGCTACTTGGTGACCCAGCTGTTCTTCCCTTTGATGGGAGGGCAGAAAGATGAAGCCATTTAGAAGATCGTAGGACAGTTACAGATACCTGAGGCCAAATTGCATTTGGAAATTCAAGGCATTCCTTTCAGTCTGTTTAGTTAATACGCTAAATCAGATTCTCTTGAAATTTTCCTTCCCTTTCTCTTTGTTTTAATGCTTAAAACAAATTATTGTTTATTTCCCTGACAAAATTATGTATTTTAAATCAGATGTGCCTCTTTAGGGTATATTTAAAGAGCTAGTTTAGGGTAGTGGTTAAGGTCTGTACTAGAAACCCGGATAAACGTACAAGTTCTAGTTCTGGCATAGAGGGTCACTCTGTCTCAGTGCAACCCACCTCACAGAGTTCCTGTTAGGAGGAGGGGGAAATGTTTTGTATGCTGCCTTTAGTTGTAGAAAATAAAATGGGGATATAAAATTGAATAAATATCAGCTGGGCAATATCAGTTGCTTTTGTTAATGTTTAATGTTTAAGCATCTTCGATTTTCCTCCTGTGTTCTTTCTACAAATCTGAGATTAACCATAAGGCCCTTTTGAATCGTGCACAGTGGAATAGGTATCCTGAGATTTTGACTTGTGCAATTTTAGAATTTCCTTTATATCGCCTACATTAGGGCTTTCCATTTTTTCCCCTTTAGTTGAAATCACTTATCAGAAAGTCCTTTTCACCCAATATAGATAAAATACCTTTAAGTCAATTTAAATGTCCCTGTTGTGCTTGGAGTAATGCGTTTGTGAGTCATTACCCAAAGAGAAACCACTTTTACCCAATTCTGGATAATTTACCCAGGTTTGGGAAACACTGGCCTATACGGAATGATGTCCTGGCAGTTGTTTTATAAAATGCAAAACATAGAAATGATAAGTCAGCAAGACCATAATGGGAAAGTTTAAAAAGCAGCTTTGAAAAGACTGAAACCATCATGTTTGTTTCTCCCTATTTTCTAATCCTGTCACTTTTGATCTAAATCTAGGAAGGTTTTATCACAATTGAAAAGCACTAGCTGTGTATTAGGGAAAGCTGAGTTCTGCAACTGAACAGGCCATGGTTACTTTTAATTGGGGGTGGGGTATCTTCTAGAAGCTGCTAAACAACTTCCTGGGATTCATAGCTATAGTCTGAGCATGCCCCTCACTTTTACCTAAAAGAATACTAATTCTTGTATATACTGTGTTTCCCCGAACATAAGACCTGGTCTTATTTTCTTTTGGCCTTCAAAATAAATGCCAGATCTTATTTTGGGGGATGTCTTACCTGCTTATCTTAGGACCACCGCAGGCAGATCTCCCACACCCCAACACCTGTCACGCCGTTGTCCAAGTTCTGCGGCTGCTTGTGGCCAGATGCTGCGTGGCTTGTCGTGCTGGTGCCGCCACTCGCAGCAGGTTGTTGTATCACGCCATGTGCAATGGCACAACATGCCATGTGGTGTCTGGCCATGAGCAGCTGCAGAAGTCGCGGCGTGGGAGGTCCTGCTGCCACTTGCTGCACTGATCATAATAAAACAGCAGGAGGAATAGATATAACTGAATCTCTTCCCCCCCCCCTCTATTCTGGAGAGGTGAGCAACCTAAGGTCCCCAGGCACCATTCTCATGACTCTGGAGGTACCTGTGATGATGGGGGTTGAAAATTTTCCCAACACTATGAGTTGGAATATAGTTAACAGAATTACCCTAAATGAGGGTTAACGTGTCCTGCAAAAACCCTTGATTTGCCAGTTGATTTTTATTCCTTCCCCCAGTCCTCTTTCCCAACCTACTCATTACCATTATTAGCCAAAAAATATTATGTGCATGAGAAGGTTGCCTCTTCCTCTTCTATTTACACGCCAAACCGAAGGGATGGAGCTTACTTCCACGTAAATGTGAACCGGAGGTCCTTGCCCATGATTAATCTTGAGTCCGTGCTTGTGCATCCTGGCTCTTTTGAGGAACACAGTGATGGGTTTGGGACTAAGCCAGGGACAGAGCGGATGGGATTCCCTCAGGTGCAAAGCCCTTCTCACACCTGTCCGTGTTCTTATTTGCAGCAAATCAAGCGCTCGGCCCGCATGTGTGGAGAATGTGAGGCCTGCCGGCGCACAGAGGACTGTGGGCAGTGTGATTTCTGCCGGGACATGAAGAAGTTTGGTGGGCCTAACAAAATCCGTCAGAAATGCCGCCTGAGGCAGTGCCAGGTTCGGGCTCGGGTGAGTGTCGTGGTGGGCAATTCCCTGCCCTGAGATCATTGCATGTTTTCTCTAGGGGGCACTTTCTTGGCTGTTCACTCCCAAGAGGCAGCCACCTCGAATTTGAAGCTGTTGGTTGTGTGTAGCTCACACGTGATTTTTTTTTCCCATTCTTTTCTTCCTAGGAGTCCTATAAATATTTTCCAGCTTCGGTAAGTTTCCTTTTTCCCTCCAGTTTTTTTCCCCTTTTCTTTTTTGCTTTTTCTTTTTTTAAAAACATCTTAATAATCAGGATTAAGATAATAGGTGAGTGCTAAGTTGGGACTCCTGGGATTTTTTTTTTTCCCTAGATAGGGAAGCTTGCCCTATACATCCAATACAATGAGGTGGCGATAGCCTAGAAGTGGTGGACTGAACTATTTGAGATTGTGGGTGAAAACGCATCTCTTTTGCATACAGGTTACAGCCTTTCAGCTTACAGCCTTTCATTTAGTGACTGTTTGAAGCTGGAAAAAAGTGACCATTGTTTCACACTTAACGACTGATGCAGCATCCCCATGGTCACATGATCAAAATTCACTTGGCAACTGGCTCATATTTATGATGGTTGCAGTGTCCCTGAGGTCAGTGGGGAAGCCAGATTCACGATTAGTAACCGTGTTACTAATTAAAATAGCTGCAGTGGTTCACTTAACGACTGTGGCAAGAAAGGTCATAAAATGGGGGCAAAACTCACTTAACAACCGTCTCACTTGGCGACAGAAATTTGGGCCTCAATTGTGGTAATAAATCAAGGACTAGCTGGTACATAGCACGTGCACTCATGTTTCTCTCCCACTTAAGAGAGAAAACCAACACAGCAGGGAGAAGGTTTTTCCTCTGCCCTACTTTGGGGTTTCCTGACTTCTTGGGTTTTTGTGGTCCTCTTCTTCCAATCCCAAGTAAGGCAACCACTGTAATTCCTATTGCCTTTCTCCGTTCAGTGCTGCAGTCCACCGTTTCATCTTATTTCCACCTCATTCTGCTGCCTGTATAGATCCGGCTTAACACCTGGGTTCATATTTCAAAGGGCGGGTGCTCGAAGACCCAGATTGCATGCATTTCTGTATCGTATTAGGTGGCAGGTTTTGCTGGGCCATTTGGCCTTGCTTCTTTGAGCTCTTAAGCCTTTTCTCCTACTATTATTATTATTATTATTATTATTATTATTATTATTATTATTAGGTTTGGGGATTTTTTTTTTGTTTTGTTTTTTGCTGCTCGTGCTTTGCCGCTTGGCATTCAGCAAGCCCCGTTTTCTCTGTTTGCCACTCTGTGCCCAGGAACAGAAGGGTATGTTTGCACTGTCTTGGTGCCTGGTGCTTTTGTGAAGCCAGGCAGATGGCTTCTTTAATGCTTTCCTCTCTCTTTCTCTTTTCTTCCCCCCACCCCTCTCCCCACCCACCCCACCTTTTCTTCTCTCTTGCTACTTTCCCCTCCCCACCCCCCTGCTCTCTTCCCCCCCTTCCCCAATCGCTCAATAGATGTTACGGGGGCGGGAGGATGATCTGCAGATGCTAAAGGAACAGCTAGAATCGGCTGCCACACCTGAGCCTCTGTCGGATGATGATCTGCACATAGACCCCGATTTGTATCAGGAGCTTTGTTCAGGGGCCTTCGATGATCAGAATCTGGTGAGACCTATGGTAGACCCATTGCCTTGGGATTCCTAGGTCATGTTGGCAGGGTCATGCTTGCTTGGGTAGAAGAACCCCGCCCTAGGCTAGTGCATGCCCTGGGGTCCCCTCCCAATGTCACTCGGAGTTGGGGAAGGACATCTCCGAGAACTCCAGCTAAATGTTTGGCTCAACATTTCATGTGGGACTTGACCCAGGTCCTCAGCCTTTTAAAGCTCCCCGCTTGCCCATTTTCGACTATTTTCTTGAGCCTTGTATCTTCAGTTTATTCTCCAGCAATCTTTTTTGCCTTGATTTCCCCTTAATTCCTTTCATCTTCTCCCTCTGATTCTTCTACCCTGCTTCCTCTCAGCTCTGCTTTTCTGCTGACTACTTTCTCTCTCTCTCTCTCTCTCTCTCTCTCTTGGCAAAGATTCCCAATTCTAGGCTTTTTTTTTTGCTTGCCTGCTACCCTTTGCTTAACCAGCCATAGGTTTTCTCATGGACGTTTCATGTCTCTCACAGAAGCTGCGCTATTGATCATTGTTCCATGGACATTTCTTCCCCAAGCCTAGCCCATAACTTAGAATATTTGTCAACGGTCAGAGAGGTTAACTATTGCTTTGCCGGACAAGCTCTTAAATTGCCAATTTGATTTGGTTTCTAAATTATTTCATTGGCGTAATTTGGTTTTTTTTTCAAACTCTTTTAGAAAAGATGGCTATGGCATGCTTACTTGAGTCTGTAGTGGGAAGTGCAGGTGGCCATTGGGTTCGATCACTCGTTCAGCAGCTGTTCAAAGTTACCATCAATGCCGAATGAGGAGATTTAGGGCTGATCCTCAAAGCCACGACAGCATCGCCACAGTTATTTGATTGCAATTCAGGCACTAGGCAACTGTAATTACGATGGCTGCAGTGTCCCCTGATCACGTTATCGCTATTTGTGACCTTCCCTGCTGGCTTCTGCCAAGCAAAGTCAATGGAGAAGCCTGGCTGGAGTTTACAAATGGCAGTCCCGTGACATTGTGGGGCTCATTTAATGTCTCCATCTGGAACTGCCATTGTAAGTTGGTGTGTTTACGTGATATTGCACTTTGCAACAGCATCATTTAGAGACGATGTTCCCAGTCCCAATAACTGCCATTAATCAAGGACAAGCTGTGTAATAACCTCTGTATACAGAGAGCTGTAGTGTAATAGGCACTAAAGATCCATTTGTTTGATTGTTACAAATGGCCAATCTTTTTTTGCTTATTTGATGCTGGGTTAAGCATTTATTTTAATGAAACAGTACCATGCATCTTAAGGCATAATATGGTAATATACCTTTGTTAGTTAGGTGCTCTATTGATGTAGCTCCAATATAGCTATTTCTCACTTACCTCCCATTCATTCACTGACCAAAGTTACGGTGGTGCTGAAAACAAATAACTTCATAACCTCTTCACACCCTTTCAGCATTCTTCAGTCATGGGATTACTATTACAGTCAGTATGCATTGTCTTATGCCTGACTTATGGGTTTTTGTTACACACACACACACACACAAACACACAGAGTGCAGAGCAGAGAGATTGGAGAAAAAGGGATTGCAAGAAAGTAAGCTGTTTGTTCTACACATTGAAAGCAGTGTGATTCTGCCAAGCAGCCCGATGCTGCAGTACTCTTTTGAAATCTCTTCCTCTCCAGACTCTTTCTTCTGAGAAGGAGTTGGGGAGAAAAAAAAGGAAGTGATTTCTGTAGGCAGTTTCTTCTTGTTCTGCCCTTCCTCCCAGAGCAGAAAGATTGGAAAGAGATTTCAAGAGAATAAGCTCTTCTATATGTTAAGAACATTAGATCACATGGGTAGTTCAAGTCTTGAGAACTGCAGATGTGCTAGGCCATGGGTGTCAAACTCACGGCCCGCAGCCCAGATGCATCACGTGCTGGCCCTGTTTAGCAAAGGGGAAAAAAAAACCAATACGTCACGTGATGCTGCGGTAACGCGAATTTGACACCCCTGTTTACAGCTTACTCTCCTGAAATCTCTTTTTTCTCCAATCTCTCCTCTATGGGTAGAGGGACAAAAAAAAGCAACCCGTTTCTTTAGGCAATCACTCCTTTGGTTGATCCTGTCTCACCCACAGAGCGGAAAAATTGGAGAGAGATTTCAAGGGAGTAAACTCTCTTGAAAGAGAGAGTTTGCTCTTTTACGCATAGAAAGTTGTATGATTGCACTGGCAGTGAGAAAGGGCGAGGCAAAGGGGAGATTGGTTGCTGAAATGGGTTGCTTTTTCCCCTCCTCCCCATAGAGTGGAAATATTGGAGACAGGGTTTTCAAGAGAGTAAACCATAGCATGTTGTTTCCATCTCTGGGCTAGAGTGCAATAACATTGCTTTTAGTGTATAAGACAGTAAGCAGGCACTCAGCCATTCCAAAGGCAGGGGAGTGGCTAGGAGGCAAACAAAAGCTAAAGGTGTGGAATTGAGTAGTCTTGTCTCTGTCTAGTTGGAAGTCACAGTCACATGATTTCCCAATTAGTGGCTATTTTACTTAGTGGCAGAGCTGCTGATCCCAATTAGAGTTGTTAAGCAAGGACTACAGATTACAGATTAACAGAGTTGGAAGGGACCTTGTAGGTCATCTAGTCCAACCCCCCCGCCCGCCCAAGCAGGAGACCCTGCACCATTTCTGACAAATGGCAGTCCGATCTCTTCTTGACTATTTGTATAACTACAAAGCACCTAACTGGCAAAGGTATATAGTTTCCATGTCTGTTGGCCATGCTAGCTGGGCATTTAAGAGTTATAACTCAAATGCGTTTAAAAAGGTCCTAGGAAGCTGCAAACAACTTATGTGAATAGAGTGACTCACAGAGTGAGCCCAAGGCAGATGTTACACTCTTAATGTTTCCCATAAAACTGGGGGAATTTATGGTTGCTCCCAATAGAGAAGGTTACTGAATTTCTACTCAAGTTGTGATGTTGTGTGCTTAACTAATAGTTTAAAGATCAGCAGCATTGACTCCTAGGCCAGATGTATTTCCCTTTCTGAATGCCAATCTTCATGAAGAAAAAAAAACAACCCTTGGATTGTCAGCATCTGTGACAACTTGGCCATTAACGGAGCTGGAGCATGCAGTTTCATGTATTAAATACATGTCTGTTTTTCATTTTCATTGTTCTTTCTTTAAATAATCCCAAAATGTATTACCCTGGTGTCTTTTTTTTTCCTTTTCTTAAAGTGATTCTATTACATAATAAGTTGCTGGCCAGAGTAATAGAATTACAGGATGTATTTCCTGAAAGAAGAAATGGAAGCAAGGCTGACTGCTGTTTGACTTTTCTTTTAAAAGTCTTGTTCTGGAAATCTTAATCTCCTCCCCCCTCCACTTTTTTTTTGTCTTATTCCTTTTTTTTTTAGCCATGGCTCAGTGACACAGATGATGTGCCCTTCCTTGATCCCGTGTTGCGGAAACGTGCAGTGAAAGTGAAGCACGTCAAGCGCAGGGAAAAGAAGTCAGAGAAGAAGGTAGGCACCCAACATGGCAAGTGGACAAGATGGGAAGTGGGATTTTTTTTAACGGGGAAGGTCACACTCTAAAGCTATAATCTCTTCCACAGTGTGCTTAGAAGTCCATCAAAGTTGGCTTGCTTTATGGTTTGTGAGGGACCTGTTTTTCATGTTTGTCCTCCTTGGTTTAAAACAGCCAAGCCCAAGACATCAGAAATGGAAGAACTTCCTAGTTAACTTATTTATTTGTTAGATGTATATCCTGCCTTTCATTGAGGAGCTCAATACAGCAGGCATAGTTCTTCATCCTCCCATTCCCCCACCCCCTTTATAAACCTTATGGGTTATAAACTTTCTGGGTTATAGCTGAGCTGAAAGTGAGTGACGGACCCAAAGTCAACCAGTGAATGTCCATCTCCAACCCCTAGTCCAGGGGTGTCAAACTCGATTTCATTGAAGGTCGCATCAGGATTGTATTTTACCTCGGAGGACCAGAATGGGCGTGGCCAGAGTGGGTGTGGTCAGCTCGACATCACTCGTGTCAGGGGTGCCTGTGGTGGCCCGAGCCCTCTGCCAGAGAAAACAGGCTCCTGAGCTCCGTTTTCGGCTGCAACGGCCTCCTGTAAGTAACCCTCTGCCAATGAAAACAGAGCTCAAGAGGGCTGTGTGCAGCCCACCCGAGTACTGTTTTTGCTGGCAGAGGCACCGTAGGCCAGTCTTTCGCCATTTCCAGGGTGGCCCTGCGGGCCAGATCTAATCACCCCGTGGGCTGGATCTGGCCCCCGGGCCTTGAGTTTGATACCCCTGCCCTAGTCAAAGGACCAGCACCGGGCCGCGGATGCCAGGAACCGAGCTGCGCGAACAAGCAAAGCTCCAGCACGCGAAACCACGCTCCTCAGAATTGGTCCCTGATGTCCAAAAGGTTGGGGGCCTCTGCTCTAGTCCAGGGTTTCTCAACCTCAGCAACTTTTAAAGATGTGTGGACTTCCCAGAATTCCCAAGATGGTATCTTTGGATGGCCCACCCATTTTTAAGTTGCTGAGGTTGAGAAACACCATGCTAGAGAGATGTAATTGCTGCCTGATAGAACTGTGCTACAAAGACACAATCAGCTGGATACACTAAGTGGGATGATAGTCCCATTGAGGTCAGTTTTGTTGTTGTCCTTTGCTCTGTGGGATCTTTGGGGAAGAGATGGGTTTTTTTTTAATCATCTGCTACTTGGTCTTTTCACGAGAACAGCTAGACGTTGTTTACTGCATGCAAGGATAGTTTTCAGCCCCTCTCATCTTGATATACTGTATGTGTATTCTGAGATTCATTGCATCATAATGAAGATAAAAAATAATCATATGAAAGGCACAGTTGAGTGGATGGCAAGCCGGCCTTAAGCAAATGATATACTAGTACTTGGGACGACTCTCTGGGGTGAACCATAGTGATGCATTTTTCCCCTTTGGGGAAAGAAAGGAAGGTGTAGCCAAAGGAGAAAACAAGGATGTGCTCCACAGAATCTTCGGATGCTTCTTGATTGGGGAAATAAACACTTATGCTGGAGGAAAGAGGGACATCAGTAACTGAAGGCATGCTCTCTCTCTTTAACAGTTTATTAAAATAGTGATCTGCATCAAGCTTGAGATAGAATGACAAACTTGAATTCTTCTTTAGGACCACTGTGACCCAGCATATATATTTTTGGGGGAGGGAGGTGGGAGTATGGACTGGATGATTTTGAGTAACAGGCCAAATTTGACTCACAGGCTATTGGTTGCCAACCCCTTGCCTAGGCAGTGGTCTGGGAAAACATATTAGAGAATAATATGAGTCGTTTGATTTTCGCCTAGCGTCTTTTGTGAGCTCAGCCAATAGTAGTTGATTGCATAACGTATAACATGAACAAACCATCTGGCATAATATGGGGAGTAGGCCACTGCACTCTTGTCATGACAAGAGCGTTGGATTTGGTGTGGGGAGAGCCAGGGCCAAATCCCCACCTAAACTGAAAATCTTTGGATGACTTTGTCTGAGTCATCATCTCTTAGGCCGAACTACTTCAGACTGAAAGAGGTAGGGAAAGATACCATCTGCTTTCTGAAGGAAAAGCAGAATGTTGCATAGAAACATTCTTCCCCATCCTGCCTTTAATTGATAAAAATACAAGAATTCCCCCCTAGCAGTTCGAAAGCATGCAAATGCGAGTAGATGAATAGGTACCACTTTGGTGGGGAGGTAACAGCATTCCATGCATCTCGGCCTAGTTATGCTGGCCACATGACCATGGAAGCGTCTTTGGACAACGCTGGATCCCTCGGCTAAGATACTGAAATGGGCACCACCCCCAGAGTCAGAAATAACAGAATAGGGGAAACTTTTACCTTTACCTTTAGTCATAAGGGAGATGCTAAAGTGAATAGGTGATGGTTTGTAGCCTTCGTTTTTTTGTAGTAAGAAAAAGATGGAGAATCTGGGCTTCCGAAGTCCAGGAATTAAATTGCTATATATACTGAGTCTGAAATAGTGTTTCCTGTTTAGATCAGGTCAGGACCCATCCAGCCTAGCCAGTGTTTCTCAACCTCATCCACTTTAAGATGTGTGAACTTCGGTTCCCAGAATTTCCAGCAATCAGAATCCACGCTAGCTGGGGAATTCTGGGAACTGAAATCTACACCTCTGAAAGTTGATGAGGTTGAGAAACGTTGAGTCTGGCCTTGGTTTCCAGTTTCAACCAACCATCTATTGAATGCACAAAACAAAACAAGAATATTGAAAAAAAAAACAACAACCATGGATGCCCAAGAAATCTGAGTCTTGAGGCTGAGAAATGTGGCCTTCATATTAAGAATTTTTTCCGTGGGGGAAAGAAAGGGACTGAAAAGTGGTTTGATTTCCCTTTGGAGTTCTCTATAAATATGAACCCTCTTTGTGCTTCTTGCTCTGCAGAAGGACGAGAAATACAAGCGACACAAGCAGAAGCAGAAACATCGTGACAGGTCAAAACATGCCGAACGAGTGGATGCCAAAGATCCTTCTTCTTTACATCAGTGTCTGGGCCCCGGCTGCATTCAGGCTGCCCGGTCTAGCTCCAAGTACTGCTCCGATGAATGCGGAATGAAGTTGGCAGCCAAGTAAGAACTATGTCTCCTTGGCTCCATTTCTCCTCAGTGTTTACTTTCTAGTGTAGATTAAGGACTTTGCTTGTGGAGCTGGAGTGAGATGAAAGGGTAAGATAGATATTGGTAGTGAAATATGGGCATTTCCCCCCCACCCCTTCCAACTTCAGCTCTATAGAAAGGTAGAACTATGATGAAACTAAAAGGAACAGTTTTGAGAACTAGTGTTATGATAGAAACCACCTGTTATGGTAAGAAGAGCACCTGGGCATCTCTGCTGCCAGTCTTTGGTGTGTAAACTTTTTTCTTGTTCCCATGGCTTGTCTCTGCTGTAGACTAGGACAACGGGGAACTATTTTTTGTAGTGCACAGAGAACTTTTAAAGCACTTTTTCCTTCTGCACATATAAAATACATTCGTGGCTTTCTTTCTTTGAAAGCGTCTGAGACACTTGCTGTTCTATTATGCCTTAAATCAAAGGTCCTCAACCTCCTGTCGGTGGCATGCTAGAAAGCTGGCCATGTAACCACGCAAAGCCCCATCTGTGGAATGCAGGCAGCACATGCCTCCTCCGGTCTGCAGAAAAACCTCTCCATGGAACCGGTTCCTGTTGCCCAAAAGGTTGGGGGACCACTGCCTTAAATAGTCCCTTCCAAGCTTATGATATCCTTGAGCAGGGGTCTTCAAACTTGACAGCTTTAAGACTTTTGGACGTCAATTCCCAAAATTCCTCCTCCAGTCATGTTAGCTCAGGAATTCTGGGAGTTGAAGTCCACAAGTCTTAATCTTGCCAAGTTTGAAGACCCTTGCCCTTGAGGCATATGAATTGGGTAGAATAATATTATGTTGTATTTGATTCCTGCTCTTTCATATTGACCTATGATCCTTCCTTCCTTCCTTCCTTCCTTCCTTCCTTCCTTCCTTCCTTCCTTCCTTCCTTCCTTCCTTCCTTCCTTCCTTCCTTCCTTCCTTCCTTCCTTCCTTCAGCCGCATCTATGAGATCCTCCCACAACGCATACAGCAGTGGCAACAAAGTCCATGTGTGGCAGAGGAGCATGGCAAGAAGCTGCTGGAGCGGATAAGGCGGGAGCAGCAGCAGGCCCGGCTTAAGTTACAAGAAATGGAACGCAAATTCCATGAATTGGAAGCTCTTATTGTCCGGGCTAAGCAGCAGGCTATCAAGGAAGATGAAGAGGTACCTGGAAAATGTGGAGGAGGAGGAGACAGAATTGATGGACACCATCTTAGAACAGATAGGGGAGCTTGGATATAGCTAGAGCTTTTTAGCCTCTTAACTCCATATACTTATTTGTCACCCATGCAGCTTAGATTGTAAATCATCCAGAGTCATAGGTGGCTGTAGAAATGGAAATAAGTAAATAAATAGACATACATTCACAAATACTTTAAAACATCAGTAGCTTGATTTAAGCCACAGAGGAAATGCTGTTAAAAGATAGGAAATCTATCCTCTTGTCTTGACAAATTGGTTAATGAGAAATCAGTTGCTTTAGCTGCTACTTATTTTGCCAGTCTATTGTATTTGTCCTTTTGCTTATTTGTCCGTTTGCTTATTAGCATCATTGGCTAATTTAGGCTGGCCACACTTGATAATTTTAGGTTGAAGTTTAAGTTGTAATGGTGAAACTCCTGACCATTTCTGTTTTTAACAGTGCACAAACGTAGGAGAAAATAGCAATAATTCTTGGTTAGAATACTAGCTAATACTGGATATTCTTTTACGATGTTCTCAAGCATGTAGGACACAGGTGTCAAACTTGTGACGTCACGTCACCACATGACGTATCACTTTCCTCCCTCTTTGTTAAACTGGGGGTGGGCATGGCCAGCGCATAACGCATCTGGCCCACAGGCCGTGAGTTTGACATCCCTGATGTAGGAGAACATCTGCCCTTTTACTTCCTAAGCAAACATTCCCCAAATTATATTGACAAAATATACTCCAGTATGTGGAGTGTATTGAATTGCCTTACTTCCTCCTTTCTGAGGTGAATTGTGAGTGGAATTTTCCATGAGCCTGAACCCATTATGTGCTGTGTGATATTGCTGCAGCACTTAAAGTACCCTGAACTTTTCAGCTTCCTGGCTGGGAGGACAAAAAACAGTGGGCAGAACGCAGTGAAAAACAGGTCAGTAGTGATGTGGCGGCAGATACCTAATATCTAATTTGAGAAAATCGGACAGATTTCTCAAGGCTGATTTGGAGCAGAATTACCATTGCCTATTGAGAAGTGTAATTGGATGGAAATGGTCTAATTTACTAGTCTACATAATGCCCTGGAGCAGGGGGGTCAAACTGGCGGCCCACAGGCCAGATGTGCCATCTGCAGGCCACGCCAACCCCAGTTCCGTGAAGGAGAGAAATGTCATACGATGGCAACGTGAGTTTGACACCTGTGCCCTAGAGAGCCAGTCTGGTATCTTGGTTAAGGCACTACTAGACTAAAAACTAGATGGCGACGAGTTCTAGTTCTCCCTAGCTTCAATGCCAGTTGGATGACTCTTGTCTAGTGGCTCTCTTTCAGCCCTAAGAAGAAGGCAAAGGCAAACCCCTTCTGAAAATCTTGTCAAGAAAATTACAGGTAAACCTCGGGTTATGGCCATTTGTTCAGCAACTATTCAAAGATATGACAGTACTAAAGGAACGGTAGTTTCTACTGGTCCTTGAAGTTCTAGCAGTGTCCTTGCAATCACATGATCAAAATTCATGACCGCAGGACGCATTGAACTCCCTCTACCTGCCTATCTCTTCACCGTCTCTACCCATTTGGCTGCCCTGCACTCCACCCACCCTCTCCTGCTGCTGTCCCCAGCTGATGTTTGCCATATATTTTTTCACCCTGCTGGCCTGGGATCCAAGACCTGGTGCAGACCCAGTGTGTGCATGACAAGGGCAGTGGAGCCTCGTCTGCCCATTTCAGTATCTTACTGGGTCCGGCAGGCAGCAGTGCTGGAGGAGGAGCCCTTTCTTCCACTGCCAGTGTGAGGTGTGATGGTCTGCAGAAAGTGGAGAGTGCAGTGGGAGAGGATGGCAAAGTGTGGCGCACTTGGTTGCTTGGGAAGGCAACTGTGGCTCCCCAAGTGAAGGTGGCTATGGGGAAGTCACTCAGGGTGGCAGCAGAACTGGAAGAAATGGACAAGGATTTCCCAGAAGCGCTGCCTATACTTCACACCTTGCGTTGGAAAAACTCCCGGTGAGCTGGTCTGCGGGCTTCTCCTTGTTGGAAACGTCTGGGCCTTTGTGAGGCGCCTTTACAAGAGGGAGTCTGTCAGAGAAGGCCTGTTGGTCCTGGGCTTGCCTCCGCCTCTCTTTGGAGACCACAGGCCAGATCTTCAGGAGCGCTTCTAACGTGAGCTGCAGAGGATGGCTTACACCTTTTCCCCATCCTTCTGCTTCCTCCAGTTCTGCTACCAGCCTGAACAGCATCTCCTGCACAGCTGCCACCTTCACTTAGGCAGCCACTGCTGCCTTGCCTGGCAAGGCAGCACATTAACTCTTGCTATCCCATCTGGTGCTCACCACAGTCTGTGGACTATCGCTTCTTGCTGTAATGGCAGAAGACTGGGCTTCTCCTCTTGCAATGCTGCCTGCCTCCTCCCCGACTGAGCCTGGCAAGCGCCGTTCGGCAGACGAGGCTTTACCACCCTGCCACACCCACTGAGTGCATTCCTGGTCTGCGCCCTTGCCCAGTACCTGGATTCTGGATCAGCAGTGGGAGGAAGACAGTGAAGTCAGCATGGGATAGTGAGGGTCATAGCAGGGGCAGATGGAACGCAGGCTACCCAAAATGCAGGGTACTCCACATCCACCTAGGTGGAGGTTGCGGGGAGGGGGAGAGATAGGTGGGGGGTAGTAGTTGTAGCAGAGGCAGTTGCACAGAGCAGGAGAAATGTTAGGTCCTCGCCTAAGGACTGTACAGTCTTGGCCTAACAGCTGCAATCTGGATTGCTTGGACTGCTGTCGTTAAGTCACATAATATTGTGTATAGCTTCCACTTTGCTGACCAGTGGAAATTCCTGTTTCAGTTTG